TTCCAATCGGAATCATTACTCTTCGAGACCTTTCAACGTCTTCTCACTCTTCTAATTCTCTCAGAAATGATTTTTTAGCTGCGCTGGGACGGCTATTGCAGTTCTGTTTCTTTTTCACCCTTCCCAACAATTGCAATTTCATTCTGGAGACTTTTCTTTGCAGTTTTTCAAAGTTTTTCTAGAAAAGATTCATTCGAAACCTTCTAAGAGCGAGTCTTTTTTTGTTTGTACCAAGAAACGTCATCTTGGTTCATGTTTTAGTTTCAGTTCCGCTCCAAAAAAACCAATAAATTTGATTTAGAACAGTTTTTCAAAACAAATAGTTCACATTTCTTGTGCTTATTTCGTTCAAAGTTTTTTGAGAAATAGAAACGTCCATTAACTTTGAATATAATGAAAAAAAGAGTGTAAAAAATACTGTAAGAATCAAGTTCGAAGTGCTCAAACAATGAATACATAATCGGGTGATGCCTCTGGACAAATTCTCACTCACGCCAATTATGTATTTGCACGTACTGAAAAATAAACCTTGCTTGAGCAAAAGTTTCTTCCCACATTTTAGGCGTCCTTGTCACATTATTATCGTTTCTTCACTTTTCTGCCTCTTCGCCCCTTTTTATTATTTTGTAGATTTTCATCGTCCCGCTGCTGCTTCTTTCAAAACGACTTTGATATTCTGTTTCTGGTTTTTCGTTGGCAAGGGAGGTCATTTTACTTGCCGTCGGGTTTCTCCTGAAAAGTGGCCAGCTTCTTGTTGTAATAGTAAAGATCTGAAAGTATCCTACTGCACAACTTCCTCATTTTTGGGAAAGACGCCAAAGAGAACCTCGAACTCATAAAAATATGGTTTGAGGTTAACCCTTTATTTTCGAAAATCAAGTTGTAGGTGACTTCCAAATCTTCATCAGGTAGATAATCAATGTTTTCACTTTTCAGAGAATTACCAATCAAAAGCTAAATGACCTTCCTGTGAGAAAATAAAAATTAGAGTGAAGAGTTTTATTTGTTTTCAACACCCTCAACTCTACTCGGTCCTATGAATCAAAAATATTTTCCATTCTCAAGTTTAATAAAAAAATGAATTTTTAAGGTTTCATTTGATCCTCGTGCTCCTTCTAATCATAACTTTTTCTGAAATCTCTATCAAAAATTTTAAGGATGAATTCAAAATTTCCAATTTCTTTTTTTTCGTACACGTTCGATTCCGAAACATTTATCTACCGACTCTCGTATTTAGTTTTCACAACCTTCTATTTCTGTTGGCTTACACTTTTTGCGTTTTATGCCGCTTTTCAACAAAATTATACAACTTTTTAAGCTTGCTTTCTACAAGTCGAGATGAACATGATTTCGAAGTTTGCAGTCTGAGAAACGCGTCAGGTTGATGAAAATTTCGTACTTTTCTGAACATTATTTAGAGAAGCCAGAAAGATGAAGAAATCTGCGGTTTTGAAAAGTCCAGATCGACGATTGCGCAAGGAAAGAAGTCCTTCGAGCTGTAGTCTGCAATATAAAATTTTACGATCGTTAAAAGCTATACAAAACTCTATATTCTGAAAACATTTTGACAATCAAAGAGTGGCCTTATAGCTGCGTCATTTTTTGTAGCAGTCTAATGCGAAAGAAGAAAACAAAGGGATTAAATATAGCAATGAGGAAAACTCTTGATCGAGTCTCTAACCCTGTTTGTCAGGAGCATTAGAAACATTGAAATTAACTGTTTGGCAACATAATCACTGTTATTTGTTTTTTTCAGAAAGAAAAATGTTTCAAAATTAAATTGTTTTAAAATGATAACGAAGAATATGAAGATTATGTATATTTACTTTTTTGAAAAAGACGAAATCGTGAGTTGGGCAGACGAAGAAATCGGACTGAAGGACATTGAAAAGTCAAGAAGACCTGTTTGGTTGAGAAATTAAAGCGTCATTGAGAAGCGATTCTGAAAAGTTCAATATCAACCATGCGAAGGCTCGTTTTTACGAAATAAACTCAAATTATTGCTTATTTTCAGGCTCCTGAACCGGGAAAGCTTCAACGACAGAAGTTACCACGTTAGTTTTTTTTTTGTTATAAACCCTTTGTAGTTTTTAAAAACTCGACATAATCTCATGAATCTCATCTTGACCTTAAACTTGGTTTATTCGTTTGCAAAGCATTTTGTTTCCACATTTTAAGAGCCCTTCCGATTTTGGGCACTTTTGAAAGTTCCAGTAATTTTTCGGCATTGAGTCTAGGAAAAAGCTGAATCGAAACTTATTTAGCCTTTATGTTTTACAAAAGCTAGAATAAAAACAGGTAAATTTTTGTGGAGGCTGCGCAGGCCATTATGGGATCATAAGCGTCGCTTTCGAAAAAATAGGTTTTTTCAATAAAAAAGTCATTTTTTTCAGAAACCGATGAGAACTTCTTCAAGCCACGACAGGAACGTCAAAAAGTTTTTGCCGGTCGTCGAAAAGTGCAAATCAAAATGCACTCTCCTCCAACTGAGCCAGATTGCTTTGGGTCACAATTTGACAGGTTTGAATTTGAAACGTTTGGAAATGAAGGTAATCATCTTTAAGCAATCGGAAATGTGGGCCTTTGTCCATATTCCCTCATCAAGCCGATACTCGAGAAAAGGACTGTCGTTGAATTGAGAAGCTTCCTTTCTTGCAATCCAGTAAGTTTCTTGAAAAAGGACAAGTTTGACTGAGGCTTTTTCCAGGGACTGGAAGAAGATAGTGACGAACTTTTCGAGAAGTTCGTCAAGCGACATCCACTTTGCTCTTCAGTTTTTAATCAAAGAAGAAAAGTTTTGGCTTTTGAGGCGAAAATATATTGAGTATGTTTTTTTTATTACATCTACCCATTTTGTTTCCAACTTGTAAATAACCTTTTCTGCAGACTTTGCAAATTGGCCGAGAAACAGAAATGTCGAGAAGAAGCGAGGCTGCAGATTTTGGTCGACAAACACTCTATAAAGGCAAAAAGATGGACACTGGACGGAAAGGGTAAAAAGATTTCTGAGAGACTGAAACTTTTAGTTTTCAGATTGCAATCGAGGAGGCGTTGGCTCCAAGGAATAGCCGACGTCAGAATAACTTTGGCACAGTTAGCAGAAGAAATGACAACTCCAACGGCCAAGGACATCTCGATGGCCAGGAGAGCCGTCGCCGCAGGTAAACATTCTCTTGACCTCTTTGCAGAGTATCATATTTTTTTATCACTGTTCGCTAAAGCAAAGAAAACTCCGATTTTTCGTTTCTTCACTATTAAAAAGAGCCTCTTTTGGATATTGAATATTTATTTTACTCTGATACATAACACAGCAAAAGCTACGAAAAAAGAGACATAGCTTGAGTAAAAATTATATGAGAGGCATTATCGTTTTAATTTAAAAGAAGCCCAGTCATTTCAGTTTTCAGAAATAAATTCAACTGTAGTGAAAGTTGAAATTGATCAGTTTTTTGATTTTCAGGCGACAAAACCAAACTCTCCGCACTGCCTCAGGCCTTCGTCTACAATAGCGTCAACCCTGGAAAGTTGAATGCCAAACAAAAATCGACGAATGCGCCTCTGATGAAGAAGACGATGATGATGATGAAGTTGATGCGTCGTTAAAATGATTTCAAATGATATTGATTTTCTTCCCAGTTTCGACCACATTCCCATTTCCCCGTTTTATATGACTCCCAGTCAACTATAATTTGAACAGTTCCATTACATCCATTTTTTATTTTGGTTTTCAATTAGCACAAATTTTGCCATTTAGACCCAGATGAAAACAGGTTCTCATCTCGTTCATGGTTGTATGTCACAAATTTTTTTCATTTTCAAATTTGATGTTTTTCGAATTTGATGTAATTCTCTAATGAATGTTGCTTTATTAACACCGCGTTTGTGTTAAAAGGAAACGAAAAAATTGCACAAATACTATTTTTCTGTCGTGAAAATCATTAATCATTTCGAAGAATTTGAGCTTTTGGATTGAAAAGTGTTTTCGAAAAGTAAAAATCAGAATTTTTTGGAGCAATGCGAGATGACGGATTCTCTCAAGATTATCATGAAGTTTGTGGACCTGAACCATTCTTTCGTTTCGAAGACGTCCTTCTGTACTGAGGAAATGGGGACACGCGTACTGGTTGGAAAAAACACGGAAAGCTTCTTTTTCAAGAAACGAAATTCAAATAAAAAAGTTTTCCGATTTGAATTTCACAAGAAAAATGGGTGAAATAGGAAATTTTCGATTTTATTCGACGACAATAGAAAATTTTCCAGAAAAAATTTTGTCTACTTCGCGAATTTCTTAATGTAATTGAATTCTTTCATTATTAACTTCTTCACAACAAAAAAAATCAGATCTGCCAAAAGCCAGTCTGTAATCGATAGATCAACGAACAATCAGTAGGCCGCGAAAAGGAGGACACGCCGTGTAACGCGCGGGAATCGGTTCCTCGCGTCGAGGTTCTTTCTCGTCATTCGTTTTTCTTTTCCCAGGCTCTCGTCCTGTTCTCCTTCTGCCCCATAGCCTCATAACTCATAGCAACCTCGTTTTTTTTTTATGTTGAAGAGCTCAATTTCGGTTCATCGTTTTATAAGCCTTTTCAAAAAGAATATCTTGTCTAGAAGTCAATTTTCGGTTTTCGTCCTTCCTCACATTTTTGCACTGGACGAAAATGAAGGTTAGAATGGAAATAAGTTGAAATCATGGAGAAAATTTAAAATTTGATGGAATTCCTTGTTATCAATTGACGTATTTGTAGCACTAGTTTTTCGGTTATTCGCGCTTTTTTTTTCAAATTTTTCATGCATTCACTGTTATATATTCAGTGTTTGCTCATCATGGCTTCTACCACCGTCGAGATGACACTGGACGAGATAATTAAACTGAACCGTCAACAAAGTCATGTTAAATCCAACGTTGCTGGGACTACTTGGGTTCAAAGCGTGAGTAGTTTTTCTTTTCAATTTAAGTCACAAATTTTCGCTTCCCTCATCGTTTTTTGTACAGGGCGACCGAGGTTCTCACAAAAGACGTGGCAGAAGAGGAATGCGTGGCCACAACAGTTCTTGGCGTCATACGGGTGGGAGAAAACGTCAGGCGCCCCCTCAAAATTTCGAACACTATTTTGGAGATTCCGTCCCGCTTCGGTCCCAGCGTGCATCTCGCCGGAATGCGTGAGTTCCTATCTCCGAAACTTAAAATGTTGATATTTTCAGCTTCAAGAAGAACCACACGCTATCGAATCATGGGACTTCCGCTCAGAGAACTCTCTTGATCGAAGTGGATCACCCGATTCTTTCACACCGTGGAAATTCTACGCACCGAAGACGCAACAATAATCGTGTTCTTTATGTTCCTGGTCAAACTCAACGTCTTCAGGTACGTTTTTCAAGTCTGCGAGCGATAATTTTATTCGAAAAGTTGCTGAAAGGCCTAATGATGGCATTACATTGGCAAATACTCAAAGATACAGCTTTTTTTCAATACGAGTAAATTCATGCAAGACTTCACAAAGAAGCATATTCTCTATGGAAAATTGCCCACTGAGCTGTGATTCAAGTAGTTTATACATCTAGAGTCAAATGAAATTTTTTTCTTTTCTGAAATGGATTGTTCGTTTCTAGGTTCATTACACAAACGGACACCTGGAACATGGAGGCACCGTCATTCGTCAGAAAACTATTGCCAGAAACGCTCGACGAGAATTTTCCGTTCCAAATATTCAGCGCCGTAACCAGGTTTTCTTTCTACTTTTTGCATGCTTCGAAGTTCAGACAGTTCAAATCCAGTTATATCGATGTTTCAGTAAAAAATCATACTAAAAATCGAATTTTATTGAGGGTTGTTTCATAAGAATATTATTACTCTTTCAGCACCGATTCATAAACAACAACGTCGGAAATGGCGTTTCTCCCCGTCAAAGGACCTCTGCTCTCAAGGCGTGGAAGGAACGGAATGAACGAGTGCGCAAGGCCTTCTTCGGTCGACAGCCTTCGAAAACACCAACCGACGTTCGTTTTTCTCTCTTCTCCTTTTTTTGTTGTTTGCCAGAGTTTTGCTGACATCTGATTTCAGGTCGGAAAGTTCGAGCGTTTCCAGCCCAACGTGAATCCTGACACGTATTTCAACTTCGGCCGCGGCTTCACCATGTAAAATAACATAAATGTTCATCTTTTCCCTCTCACAGAGCTTTATTACTAATGCATGCATAGTTTGGAACTGTCTACTAATAAATTATTGTGTATGAAGTAAATACGTTTGCAAATGTATAGATAAAAGAGAAAACGAAAGCATTTAGAACAGCCAAAAATTTCATTCACAACCTTGAAGAAAACAATTGTAAATCCATTCGGAGGCATGGAAAAGGTTCCTCAGAAAAGGAACTTGTAAGGTCATTTTATTTTTTTTCAGCTCTCATGAAAAGACAGAAAAGTTGGTTATTTATTTTTTCAATAGGCCTGATGACTGTGGAGGATCACAAAACTTGAAAGCTCGAGTGACTAATCGAGCAAAAAAAAGGCAGAGTTTTCAATAGTAAAAATATTGAGTTTGCCGAAGTTTTTGGTCGTGATGAACTGCAAAAAACGAAAGGAATTTCAAATTCTTTTTGCTGTTATTACTTTTTCAGTTCTCACACTATTTTCCCGACCTGATTGATGATTGTTGAGGAAATATAACTGGTAAAAAGATTGGTAAAGTTAATTTTTCTTGCTTAATTAAGTTTGGGCTGTTTATTTCACTCGATTTTTTTGTTTTTGAACACGGCTTTTGTTTGATTTGTGTTCATTTCGAACAAAATAAACGAAGGAATCTAGCATAAAGTGCATATAGTGAACAGAAAATGAAAAGAAGAAATGATCCAAACCTCTGGTTTGGACGCATTTCATGAAAACCTTCTTGAGAACATCGGAAAAAAGAACTTTCAGATGCTTCCTTTTTTGAATCAATTGATTGCTTTTCTTACTATTCAGATCCACTACTTCCAAAAACTACAAAATTTAATCAGTGAGAAATGTTTT